TGATGCCAGGGGCTTAGATGGAGAGCAAATGTTTTGAGAATGATGAGGGCAATGAATGTACAAATGTGCTTTACACAATTGATGTATGTATGGAATGTGATAAGAGTTGTATAAGCCCCTGATAAAACGATTAAAAATAAAAAAGAATATTCCTTTACAACCAATGGAAGAAACTGCTAGACATGTGTCAAATAGAATTGCCAAACCATTCGGTTTTGATTATGGAGATTTAGAAGTTAGATGACACCAATCTGCCCAGTATGTATGAATTTTCTCCACCAACATGGGTGCAGGCATGGAGGAGAAAGGTGAATGAGTTTATCTAGCATTGATCTTTTACAGTGTCCGAGTGATGTGCCATTGGAAAAATTGATGACATTACAAGTGCAATTGCCTTATACCCCAGGGGGATGATTGACAGTGTTTTACCTTATTGCCTCTGTGGGTTTTTATTTTCCTGCCTGTAGTTTGCTTGTTTTGTTTGTCTTTTGTTGTCTGCTAGTTGGTTTGTTGCTGTTGGTGGGGTAGTTGGTCCTACGGGGTTTTGAATATGTCTTAATATGACCGCCAAACTAAACCTGAGTCATGCATATCCCAGGGACAAGCAGATGGATTCTGGCCCCCCCTGAATTCTAGTCCCAGTCCAAGAACAATTAGTTCTGATAACATGGTCCTGCCCGATACTCCCCGTCATGAAATGATAAGGGTGCTACAGCAAAATGTAGTGAAGAAAGCAGATGGTGTCTGGCTATGACTATCAATCGGAATAGTGTCTGGGATCGAAAGGCTTGTATTCAAACAAGCAGCCATCTACGCGAGGAGTCAACTAAGGCCACATGGAAGAAGCGCATGAGCTTGTGTGATCCAAAGATGACAATAACAAAATTCCAAAATGACAAAGGGAAAAATATCAGAGCCTAAATTATGAACACCCAACTTGTAGAAGGCTATGGAGGAGAGAGGGGGCCCCAAACCCCTCTGCAGAGTATCTAGTCAGATTAAAGCCACTGGCAGGTCCCCTCTGGACACAGGCAAGGGTCTTGAACAGGTTTACTATCAGGTAGGGACCCTTGTAATCGTGATTATACTGAATCGAACTTGATACTTGGTCAGTTGGCCTCCCTTTTGACCCAACCTGACATTCTTCTAGGTGCAAGTATTTCTTGTTGGTTTCATGACAAACATTTCTTCCCTGGTCTCTTAAATCATCATGGTGGTCTTTGCTTTCCTACCATTTGTATTTTTATAATTTTCTCCTTTCCATTTTATTTTGTTTCTTTTTTTTATTGCTTCTGTTGGGCTTTCCAGTTTGTGAAGCACAGAAGGAGTAGAGGCACAGAGATAAGAACTGATGCAAGGGTTTATGGGGGAGGTAGGGGTGGAGTAGGAGATTGGGAGGGTGAGGGGGTGGGGAGAACAGACAATGTATGTGGGAGGGGAAGGGAGCGCTAGAACTGATGGTGATTTCCCAACTCCTTTTACAAGTGATGTAATCATGGGGTGGGGTGTATGCAGACAGAAAGTGTTCTAAAATTGATTGTGGTAATGATTGTGCAACCTCGATATGATTAAACTAATGAATTATGTGATATGTAGATTGAGTGCCAATAAAACAAAAGAGAGAAAGAGGAAACATTTGGGAGATGATTATAGTGATAAATCATGGCCTCTAAATGCAAATGGTGAGAAGTGAAGATAGGAACAGCTCATTGAGAAAGGGACAGTATTGGGGATCAATAGACTTGAGGCTTCTCATTGAGGACAAAGCAATTATTGCTATGGGGATACTGAAGACATTGCTGGAGAACCAACTTTTAAAATTTAAAAAGGGTCATTATATATATCAACCTGTTGTCATTAAGTTGCTTCTTGCTCACGGCAGCCCCGCTTTATCAGAGCAGAACTGTACTCCGTGGGGTTTTCAGTGGCCACGTTTGAGAAGTAGATCACCAGGCCTTTCTTCCTAGGTACCTGAGAGGACTCAACTACTAGCCATTCCATTAACTAGCTGTT